TAAGTTTAAGGACCACTTTGACAATATTTTAAATACGGGAAATTATGATCTGTGTCCTCCTTCTGAGTACCAGAGTGCTGAACCGTTAATAGAAGGACCAAGTAAAGAGGAAGTTGAAGTAGCTATCGGAAAATTAAAATCATATAAAGCAGCGGGAATCGATAATATTCCTACTGAACTAATTAAGGCATGCGGGGAAGCTGGAGTTTCTAAAATACATCGGTTGGTTAAAAAGATCTGGGTGAACGAGAAATTACCTGAAGAATGGAAAGAATCTATTCTTATTCCGATTCACAAAAAGGGTCCGAGGACGGATTGTAATAACTATCGAGGAATTTCACTCCTTCCGGTATGTTATAAAATATTCACTTCAATCTTAACCAGTCGAATCACGGAATACGCCGAGGAAATTATCGGAGACTACCAATGCGGATTTAGACGGAATCGTTCGACAATTGATCAAATATTTTCTTTACGGCAAATATTAGAGAAAAAATTGGAGTATAACGGTATTGTTCACCAGCTGTATATAGATTTTAAAAAGGCTTACGATTCTATTGACCGCCAGAAACTGTATAATATTCTAATCGAGCAGGGGATTCCAAAAAAACTAGTAAATCTAGTCAGGATGTGCTTGACGGAGACACTCAATAAAGTTAGAATCGGTAATAATTTGTCCGAAAAATTTGAGGTTCGTTCGGGCTTAAAACAGGGGGATTCTCTTTCGCCTGTCCTGTTCAATTTGGCATTAGAACATGCCATTAGGGAGGTAATGCGAACCGAGAAAGGGTTGGATCTGGGCGGGACAACATCCGTGCTGGGCTATGCTGATGATCTGGTACTGTTAAGCGAAGACGTTGAAACTATAAAACTAAATACGACAACGTTAATGAAAGCCGGTAAAGAACTAGGACTCGAAATAAACGTGGATAAAACAAAATATATGGTTAGCTGCAAAAATGGCGATACTACTGGTGATATCGATATAGATGGTAATATGTTTGAACAGGTAGATAAATTTAGGTATCTAGGTTCTACGATAACTAGAAAAAACGAAATTGAAGAAGAGATTAAGGTTAGACTGAAGGCGGGGAATTCTTGTTATTTTTCTGTGACAAAACTACTTAGTTCGCGCCTCTTGTCCCGAAACTTAAAAATTAGAATCTATAAAACAATTATCTAGCCTATAGTTCTTTATGGATGCGAAACTTGGCCGCTTACATTAAGGGATGAACAGCGTCTTACAGTTTTTGAAAATAAAGTATTGCGTAGAATATTCGGACCGAAGAAGGATGAGTTAACCGGAGAGTTCAGACGGTTACACAACGCCGAATTGCGTGAGCTGTATCCGGATAATATAATTGAGCTAATTTCATCGCGGCGAATCAAATGGGCTTGTAAAGTTGTTGGGCATAGTAACGAGAGAATTCCTAAAAGGTTAATATTTGCTGTGCCGAATGGTAAGCGTCCGAGGGGTAGACCGAAGCGAAGGTGGGAAGATTGCATTAAAGCCGATCTGAAGGGACTGGGTTTGGACGGCGAACGGTGGAGGGAGGTGTGTAACAAGCGATTGGTGGTGTCGGCATCGAACCTTCGGGTTCGCTAAGCCTTATTATTATTATTATTATTATTATTATTATAACAAAAATTAACTTGGCCTACTTTTTAACTGGAAACGTCTCTTGATTTTTGTAATTTATGATAATAATATAATTCACTTTATACTATCGACAACAATTCTTTTAATTTTTTTGAACAATTAAATAAATCGATTGGTATGTATTAATCTGGAAATCCTGGCTAATCAAGGGTAATAAGAAATAAAAAAAATTATTTTAGGCCTCTTGGGGTTAACTCGGAGACGCATGCCAAATATCTTTCGGCATAGAATAAAAACAAATTGAAAAAAAATATTTTGCTGAAATCGGTGATTCACAGACTGTGATCTGCCTTTTTTAGTTATTTATTTTACTTTATATATCTTTTCTATGAAGAATTTCGGAGAGAAGTAAATGGATAAAAAATAAAATAATAAAAATGTGATTTAAGCAAATTAATTTTTAAATAGTAGTTTTAAAGTCGGATCACAAGTAAATATATATCTGTGTGAGTGTGGTGCAAATGAGGAAAGGGGTTGTTGCCTGTTGCAGACACTTATATATGTATTCTTAATTAAAGGAATTGTCGGTGTAGAATATGATTTGAAATGGTTCCATTTATTGTTTCATACAACAAAAGAGTTAGAAGAATAGATTTAAAGTCGTTGGTTTGGAACAGTAGGGGAAGCTCTTCGGTGACGGACATAGCGAAGCAGAATATTTGTCTTTTTTGGCTAATGCCACCGTAATTATTATAGGTGATAAACTTCTCCGTTGGACATTTCAAATTTCTAAGGCCTCTTTTTATTTTCCTATCTATACTAGGTAAGGAAAGTATTGAAATCGGGTCAAATTTCCGGTATGCGGTTTTTGACGGATCTATACTTTTCAGAGCCCCCTGGGTTCGAATAACACATTTTTAGCTATTAGGCTGTCTGTCTGTCTGTGCCAAGAGTTTCTCGGGACCTATTGAACCGATTTTGTTGTTTCTTTTTTTATTTTGTAGGGTTTTGACTACTGATGCCTGTGACACAAATTGGATGCTCCATGCGCAATAAATGAAAAACATGTTTTTCTATAGACTGTATCGCAAAAACGGCTATAACGATTTTGATCAAACATTCCTATAATGTACTAATACTTATTCTTTCAATACAGGAAAAAAAAAAGAAAAGTTATAAACAAAAGAAAATATTGTGGGGCCTAACTCACTAAGTATATATTCTATGGTAAAATTTATAATTAAATTTGTTTTGTTTCTTGATGGACGTATGTAAAGATCTAAAAACTTCTAAAATAGGTAGGAAAGTCGTGTGAGTAGACACACCAGATTTTTTTATTTAACACTTTAAAATTGAAAAAAAACCATTTTCTTATGCAGGTATAATCTCCATTTAAAAAAAAAAAATCTTTTTGCAGTAGTGATGGACACTCCGAAATTGAATAGTTTCAATAATCGACAGGAGGTCGGTACCAATAATGGACATAACTTAGAAAAATTCTAAAATCATTATTTAACAGTATAATATAACGAAAAAGGTAAGATAACATAAATGTTCAACTTACTCTTAGCAAAACCGTTGGTAGGAAGGTTTGAAACACATTGATCTCAAGAGCACTGTAGAACCAACATGATAGGCATTTTAAAATTTTTGGAACTTTGTTCACACACTCGTCAATAGAGGACATTGTTCTTCAATCTAGAAAAACTGGAACCTTTAAATCAACAAGGAAGCTTATTATTTAGATTTAAATTCCAACCTGTCCATAATTGGTGCGCTCATCCTAAACAGTGCAATAATCACAACCTAACGGACTAATGTTCTGCAATGTTCCAATAACAAAACATTTCTCCATGGTTTTAAAACTGATTTTATTTTTTACTTTGATTTTGAGCATAAAAAATATTATTAAAACAAAGAAATCGGCTTGAACATGGTGTAAACCTATTTGAAAATCATAATTATTTAATTTATTAGGATTTTGAATCATATATGTATTGTATGTACTTTTTGATGATTATTTATTTTTTAATTTGCTTCTGATATTTTATTTATTTGTATTTTCTGTAAATATCGTGTGAATGCACTTTAACCTTATTATAACCAATGCTCATGTTGTGACATAATGGTACATGTTCTTTTATAATTATAAAAAAATATTATTATGAAAATAGATTTTAATTAAAACTATGAAAAAATAGATTTTACTAACTTTTGTTTTAGTAATAGAGTTAATATATATTTTTTTTAATATTATCTGAAAGCCGTTCCTTTTTAGACGGCTGACAATAACTTATGAAATATTTATAACTTAAAATTCTTAAACGATTGTGGATATATCATAGACGATATATTTAATCGAGGAGATGTTGGTGTCAACAAAGCAACACGCATGAATTCTGCTGCAGTGTGAATGATCTGTGTTTAAAAAAAAAAAAAAAATATTATCATAAAATACACGAAAAATAAATACATATGAGATGTACATTAGGAAATGCGAAAAAAATGAAGAAATAAATGTAAATATTTGATATATGGGCGTGCGAAAAAATGAAACATGAACGATAAAATGGACTACATAAAATTTAATAAAAATTATACTAGCCAAAAGGATAGAAGTAAAACAAAAACTATAAATTAGATAATAGTCTTAAATTTGCATAAATTTCACCAGAAACTCACTCATCATCCAAATCCTGTAGAGAAATCCCTATCTAGCTCCAGCCATCCCTACAATCCTCCCCGGAGGTTAAAACGGCAGTGGCCTCGCGACCTTTTGTAAATATGTATATATTGGAGTACTGGCAATGGCCAGATTTTTTACTCAAGTCCTGAGCGTCTGTTACTCTAGTGCACTTCATCAGTCTTCACTGGCTTGCAATACCAGTGACGCGGCTGGGAGAGAAGCACTGGGATCTCTTGGGGTCCTGCGTTGGCTTCCACATTTGGGGGACAAAGCATGACTCGGAATCCTCTGGGCGAATGTAAATATTCTATATAACATTAACATAAAAAAAAAGAAAAATTACAGAATGAGAGATTATATAATAATTGACAATTTAGGAATTTTAGAAGAAAAAATTCGCTGTAGAAGTGTGTTAATAACACCCGCCGACAAACAATCGATATTGTAGAAAAAACAGTTAGTAAAAATAATAAGTTTATTACAATACATATCTGTACCCCTGGTGTAAAGACCAGCATGTCTTTTTTTTTATTTCTTCAGGGAGAGCCAATTTTTCATAAATTTGAGCTGTTAAAATTTTTTTTTCAATAGCTAAATTATTTTATAAAAAAATGGATACGGAGCCCTTTACATTCGGAGCAAGGATACAACAAACATTTCACGAAACTAAAAGCTATTAAATATAATAAATAAATATTTATTTATAATACTCACACTGTTGTCGTTAGGGGTGGCAGTGGCCGAGTGGAAGAAGAGGCCAGCTATCAAGGCAGCAATGTTGGCAGTGTACGAGGCGACGAAGATGACGGAGAAACCACCCCAGACGTTGATGAGGAACTTGTTCGGCCAGGACTTGGGTGCCTTGAAGGCCACCAGATGTCCGCATAGCAGCCCCCAGCAGACCCATAAAGCCGAAGACATACTGCACATAGAACAAACCAACTTGAATTGCCTTCTCCGCTAACGCAGTATAATAATATTATTTTTCATCATGTTATACTCCCAGTCGTAGCAAAAAGCGTATATATATATATATATATATATATATATATATATATATATATATATATATATATATATATATATATATATATATATATATGTATTACCTGCATAAATACTTAAAAAATCAAAATTTTAAAAACATATTTTACAAATGTCAATTGTTTTACAGACAAATATTTGATTTATTTGATATAGTACAATATAATTCTAAAAAAAAATGGACAATAGACCGAGTCGAAAAAAAAGTTGTTTTCTTAAATTTATACAGGCTTATAAGAATTATTGACTACATATAATAACATGCAACAACCACCAAAACTTTTAGGGATACCAAGGATACCATTTAGGATACCATTTAGGCTTGTTTGGAAACGAGGCTGCTGACGAAACTGCAGGAATAAGTGAAGCTGTGAAAGAGAACGCCAAGATACCCATGGGTAACTCTTAAGAAAAAATGGTACAGAGAATGGTAAGTTAGATAGAATTGTGAGGAACAAAAAATGAAGAAATTATTATGAAGTATTGCCAAGACTGAGTATTATTCAATGGTTTGCTCTGAATCTGCGACTTAAGCGATAAAAATATTACAAACTGTAAGACTGCGGACTAATCTCGTGCTTTGTTTTAGAGGGTGAAATTTACTCGGGAAGCCGCTGGATAATTATTGAGGATAATTTCTCAGAAATGTTTAATAAAAATTAGTAAAAGCAATTTTAATTTATAATATATTGATTGGTCCAGGATTAATTAATTGAATTTATTTTCTAAAAAGCTGGTCTGTGTTTATCATAATTTATAATTACCGAAACTACCTTGGATCATCATGGTATAAATAGGTGACACAATTAAAAATAGAATTACTAAAAAACTTAATTTACTCCTGTGTTAATAATGTATATATACAAATTACGTGGAAATTTTGATAGAAAAATAATATTTACAATAAACTAAATAAAAACATGATTATATATATTTAATAAGAACTCTATGAAGGTTTGATTTCAGATGGACTGTTATGAGAATCTGCCATGATACATTAATCAATCTATTATTGGGAATTAAAACTTATCTGAGGCTATAATTATGATGTGGTTAGGTTGGGTTGTCTTCCTAGCAACTGCTGATTCGAAGTCCTCTAATTCAGTGATTGCCAAGGTCCAAACGCCACCAAGAAGACCTTTCGTACTGGTGGTTTTATACAAATAATCCATGGTGGAGCAAGGATGGTTCTCATTGGTTCTTAAAGTCTAAAATTATTAAAACTGGCCACACCGAAAAGGGAACCAGTTACTTAACCAGTTAGCAGTTACTCAGAGAAAAGATCCTCCAAGCCCTTTGTCCTTAAGTATCTGCTCTCCACTTTGACGATGCCTTTGATGTTGGCAGAAAAGTTTTGTTGTAGGCTCCTTTTAACAGACCCCTTTTCAAAACATTATTTGCTATATTTAATACATACTTCACGGTTGCACTAAAAATGAACTTAATCTTATGAAAATTGAAAAGGGGGCAATTGCGAAATTTTGCAAAGATGGCACGCGGCACACACTGTTTTGATGTAAGAAATACAGGATTGGAAGAAAGAGAATACGAATTAATACCGGAGGAACACCTAACATTTCTAATAAACTTTAATACAAAGAAGATTAACTAGATTAGTAGAATTTAGTGAAGTGGAAATCTGAAGAAATCTTTTATACAGGCTGGATTAGTTTTTCTTTATATTATTTTCTTATTTTTTTTCTTTCCTTTAATATTTTGTTTAGTATATTGTTTATACTGTGAATTTTCATTTATTTACTGTATAAATTTTGTGGTATTTTCGCTGTAAATCTTTAATTACTCTGTTTATAAATATACACATATTTCTTTAATAATGTATATTCACCTATTTGGTGATAGGATTTGGTTGAAAATCTTGATGGTCAATTGTAAAAATGAATAAATAACGATTGAGTCGATACTAAGAAGAGATGTGCAGCATATTCTGAAATAATAGGACCCGGGAGGCACTCAGACGCTGAGGGTGATGGAGAGGGGATTTTTATAGGCGGGTATGTAGTTAGAATGCCCTTCAGCGGATTGGCCAGGAGAAAGAATTCTTGATAAAAGGATTTATGGCACGAGAAGTATGGGAAGACCTCGGCTCTGATGGGTCGATGGAGAAGCAGCGTATGCAATGCGCGTCTCGATCTCGTATGATAGAATAGGAACAGACGCAGTATGGCTTGGATCTTTCAGAGTCATAGCCCCATGATTGATGATAAAGAACCAGACCTTAAGGATTTTTTAAATAATGTCTGCAGTTTTGTTTTTATAGACATAGTGGTTAACATTCAAGTATCCTGATATCTAAACAATTTATTTTTATTGATTAATCAAATGTATATGCTACCTGAATAGGACTGTTCAGATCCTCGCATTTGCCGAAGATATAGACATTATTGAGCGTTCTAGGCAAATGGTTATACAATCATTTTTGGCAGAGAGGGAACTCGGCCTGACTGTCAACGAGGAAAAACCGAAATACTTGGTAACCCAGGAGACCACAGGACCTCACTAGAGTGAGTTTTGGACCTTTCGGATTTGAATAGGTATCAGAATTCACATACCTGGGCTCGCAGATCTCTGTTGATAACCGGATGGATACATAGATAAATAAGAGGATTTTGCTGGCCAACCGTTGCTAATATGGTATGAGTCGAAACATGAAAAGCACCCTGGTGACTGAGCGTGGCAAAGTAATCCTCTACAAGACTCTTATCAGATCGGTTTTAAGTTATGCATCAGAGACTGGAGTGAATAATGAGGAAAAATCAGGAGATCTACCATCGTTTTAGCGAGGCCAATATTGTCAAGTTTATAAGAGCAGGCCGTCTCAGATGGGCAGGTCATGTGGGCAGAATGAGAGACATGATCCCAAAGTAGGTGTTGGTTGAAATCCTGCATGGAGCGCGACGAGTAGGAAGACCAACGTTAAGATGGAGAGACAGCGTGGTCAAAGATGCCAGGAAGCTAGGAGTTCGAGACTGGATGGTGGCAGCACAAAGCAGACACCTGGCGGATGCTGTTGGCGGAGGCTATGATTAGCTAAGCGGGTTTTAGAGCCAGTAAAGATAAATAGATATATCCTAATTGTATAATTTTGTAGTTTTGTATATAAGATTGTTGGCAATTATAATTAAAAGAAAAAGAAAAAACTACATATAGTGCAATTATCATATTACATTCCCTTTTTTTCGTTCGCATATCTCGTATATATATATATCTGTGGATCTAACATAATTTAAAATAATTATTCGCATAATGATAATAACTAATGACTAATAATAACAGTTTTTAATCATGAGGAAACAATAATCTAATAAAATTATTGACACATTTTTTATTATATTATAAAGGTCTTATAACGTTACGATTGTTCCAATTTCATTTTCATAAAAATTCTATAATATATACCATGGTCTGAAACTTTATATTTATACTTGTCTATCGGAAGTATCAGTTAAATTAAAAAAATATAAATCATACTTAACTAAAATATTGACAGGTAATGAAAATATGCATTTGATATTTTTACTCTTTTTTTTTTATGATATTCCATTGGTCCATAACATGATGAACTTTTTTATTATTACTATTACATAAACATATAATCTAAACGATAGTAAAACAATTCTGTAGAAAAAAAATAAGGCAGAAGCTTCTGAATAAATTACTGACAATTCATACAGAAAACAACAAAACTCGAATATCATAACAAATTATCAACCAGTATTTGGAATCAACGACGAATCGAAAATTATTCGAAGATAAACCCCAGGGAATATCAAACGGAATCCTAATATGAAAAAAAAAACAACTGTCTAAAATAATATATGGAAATTGGGAAGTGGGACTGAATATTAAATGAATGAAAGGGACCGAACCTTCATATATCGTTAAAAGTTCCCTCGTAAAACCTTCACATGAAAGCAATGCCTCATACCCGGATCGAATATAAACCTAAAAACTACTTTCTTCATCTTCCCAATTGGAATAACGGAAAGTAGAAATTTTTTTTTTAAATTTGAAAAGTTTGAAGAAAATGATAATATATTTTCACTTCTAGGTAAGTATGAAAGATAACAACATGTTTTATTCCTTTTCGTTAATCAGTATTTTAGATGAGATTTAACAATACCTGAAATAACAGAACATTGTGTCATCTTAAATAAAAATGAACTCTGTGCGTAAGATAGAGCCGAATACATCAGATAATGATTTTTTTTTTTAAAGAGAAAAACGATTGTGCGTTATTCACAAGATGACTCTCAGGAGAAGTATGGAATCATATAGCATTGAACATCATCTGTTAAAATTCTATTTGCAAGTGTGTTGCTCGTTGTTTTCTTGAAATTAGGATGTAAGAAGATAGTAACACTAACACTTAACCTATTGGAAAATAAGCATAACTGCCGAAACATCCATTGAATCCAGTTGCAGATGGAAAATTAAAATATACCATCCAGAGGAACATTTCAGGAAAAAAATTTACTGAATTAGATTCAACCTTTGATAAAAACATTGCTTAGTATTTACCAACTAAATATCAGTTATTGCCACTGATTGTATGAGTGTACTATTGGTCAATAGGAACCAAAGATCTAAGCATGCGACAACACTGCATATTTTAAAGCTAAATTGTGAAATTGAAAGGGAAGGCAGTGTAATAGCTTTCATTTGAGCTCCATCCCTTTGTGGTGTTGGGGGAAATGAACAAGCAGACACCGCTTCCCGATTGGCTCGTACAAGCAATAATAATCGGGTAAAATCCATAGACTATATTCCTCGGATTGCAATCCTAAATACTAGCGCAGTAGAATGATGCCAAAAGGAAAGTTTCGAAACTGTTACATCTAAAAACAGTTTGATCTAGT